GTGCCCCGCCCCCGTGGTGAGCGTAAAGAAGACCTCGCCTTGGCCACATGTAAGTGGCCTTTTCTGTTAAAGAGATGAGAAAGGGATCAGAAGGATAAACTGGAATCCTGGCGAGAAGCCGTTATCCCTCCCAGCCCGACAACTGCTGTACGTGGGGTGCGCGGGCTTTGGAGTCAGAGAGTCCTCAGGAGGGAGGACGAGAAGTCTGATGTTTGGACTGTGTTTGTCTCACAATCACCACAAAATAAAAGTGTAGAAAATGCTTGTGGTGTACTAACTCTTTTCTGTATTTAAGTTACTCAGATTAACACACACTTATTAAATTCAGAACATTCTTTTTGAGTCATTGCTGTTGCTTTTTAAGTAGAATGATGCCAATAATGTATGAGAGACAGGGAATAAATCAGGATTTGTGTGTGTGGCATTACTTTATTATAAAGAGCCTGAGAAATTTTAGGGCATACAGTATCAGTTTAAAATGGGCTTATTATAATGAAAAATATTTTCTAAAATTTACCGTGAGGCATGTAATGGAGGATTTTAAAAGTGTAAATCTTGGCTGTGCCCGAGTTGCACAGTGATTTGTAATAATAAGTGTATGAGGCCCAGGGCTCATCAGGGCAGGGGTGACAACAAGAACAAATCATTAAGTACTACTTTGTTTCTCGAGTAAGGTAGAGTTCTGCCTAATGCACACAATAGCAGTTCCTAGCAGATTAAGCGTGGGACTAGGATCGAGGCATGCGGTCACTGCGAAACTGACAAGTGAGTAACCTTCATTAGAAATGCAAGCAACTCTCATGAGTGATGATGGTAGTTGCTCTTTCCTGCAGATAAACACCTTGGGGCATTTTGCACACCTGGGCTCCAGTTGTAGACCAGAAAGTTAGCTGACAGGGATGGATTCAGGAGGGTTTGAGAGCCTGAAGACCTGATTGCCAGTAGGTGGCGGGCACCATGTCAAGTTCCCAAGTTCCCAAGGCTGCCACTCCACTCTGGAGGGACTCCTTTCCCCTAAAAATTGTCTCCTAAAGGATGCAGTTAATGTGAGTTCAGCAAACGATACTTGCTCAGATAAAAACATGTTACCTCTGCACTTCTTCCTGGGTATCGAAAGGGGCCAGGTCCTGGGGGTACCATCTTACTCAACAGTCAGTGGAATGGTCACCTTTGAAAGTCTGATGGAGGCTACAGTTGTCCCTGAACAAGAAGCATGTTGAGCTCTAGTGTTGCAAGTAGTGTTTGGGATTCAAGAAAACCCCTTAAGACTCATTGTTGGGATCCTGAGGGCAGTGGTTCTCATTGTATGGTCCCCAACTAACAGAAATGCAAATGTTTGAATCCTACTTCTGATTCCCAAAACTCTGGGCTTGGGGGCCAGCATTCTGTGTTTTAGGGCTCCCACAGGTTTCTGTGTGAGAACCACTGCTTTTGGGGAGAGGCTGACAAGTGCAGTTGAGAGCAGGTTTTGGGTACCACCTTACCGGCAATTGAGAGAAGATGGAGCAGGGGAGGAGGTTAGGTCAGCAGGGTACGGGAAGGGTCACGTGGAGTGTATTTTGAGATACAGGGGCTGCTGAGGGAAACTGCTCCCTGAGGGCTGTTTTGTGCATCACAGAGGTAAGGAGTAGGGCACTGGCTATGCTAAATGTGGTCAGCCAGGCCTGGGTTATAGTTAGATGTCTCTCATCTGAGATCATGGGGAGTGGAAGTGGGATTTCCTGTTAGCAACCAGGGTGGAAATCTTTACTGGGGGAAGTGGTTGATGACACCAAAATTAGATTTGAATAATATACAAAGTCCACGTTCTCTGACTTCCCTATTTTCTATTTCCATCAACAGTTTTGAGAGAAATGATTACAATAACCTTGTCCACTCCTAGGATGTTGGAGAATTTGTTTCCGTTTATTTCCAGAAGTTTGATTCCCTGTCTTAATGTAACAATTGTTCTGATTTTGTTTTCCAAAAGTTCTGAATCTGTGATGAGGATCTAGGTTCAGCCCCCTCCTCTTTTTGAGCTTCTATTCAATCCCCCCCACCCAGACCTGGGTGGAAGAACAGTAAGTACTAAAGAGAATATCTGTTAGCCACCTCCATCCCCAAACTGGTCAGAATTCTTATAAAGGACACCTACTTCCTGGCCTGGGGGGGGGTGAGGCTGTTGGAGAAAGAATGTGCTTTAACCAGGGTGAATGACAAAGCAATATTTACTGTGACACAGGAAGAATGATTTTCTTTTCAATAATTTTAAGATCATTTTTATTTTTACCCAGAAGTGTTAGGTAGAAAGGTCCTAAACAAACTGATTCATTTAGGGTCAGGAGAAGCCTGGCTGGAGCTCCTGCTTTAGGCCAGGAAATGACACCACAATGTGTAAAAATGCAAATGTGAAGACCAGCTGACCTGTTCTTCTTAAAGCCTCTTGTACTCCTGCAAAGAAGGCTGCCTGGAACACAACTTGGGGGCAGGCAGCTAGAATTGTTAAGAGTTCTTTAGGGGCGGTGCCTGTACATAAGTCCAGATGCAGGGCTGTGTTTATGGCTTGTCGCCACCCTCACTGCTAAAGATAAGGTTAGTGGCCTTTGAACTGCTTCCATTTCAAGGTGGCAGGGGCAGGGATTGCCCAGGCCTTACAGTGTAGTCGTCATGCCTTCGCTGTCGGCGCTGACGGGGATACCTCATCACTTTCCAGTCTTGCCACTGAGCTTACTGGGGAGTCTTGTCCACATCCTCCTGAAGAAAGGTTGCATTGTGTATCTGGTGTGTATTTGCCATTTGTGTTTTCAGGCCCATGTAATCTGGTTTGGTTCACCAGTAGGTTTTGGGACTGAGGGATTGAAGGGGGTTTATTGACTAAGTCACTAAATTTTGATTCTGTATTGACTGATCACAGGTGGCTTTAAAAATGGGGAACAAATTTACCTGTTGATTAGTTAGAATTGGTTAATGAGGATATGCATTCAGTTCCCCAGTTGTTGCACGTCACATGCAAAGTGTAGCTCCGAGTGCTGGGGTCTCTCCAGTTACCGACAGTCGGGAAGAGGGCAGGATCAGTTTTTCATGTGGTGATACAGAGAGCTGGCTTTGAGATGTTGACACAGCACATCAGTAGCAAAGCAAGAAGGATGTTCCGTAGGTGTTCACATTCTAGGAACACATGGTTACCTGTGAGTTCCAAGGTATTTCTGAGAGTTCAGCGTTCACTTGACGAAAGAAGTCTCCTTGGATTCTTGGTGACCACTTGGTCTTCTAGTGAGCCCTGTGCAGGGATCATTTTGGCGGGGGTGGGGGACTGCTCCCTCAGATGGCCCTTCACCCTGTGCTTACTTAGTTCCATCTTCAGAAGATGTTTGATAAAGTGTGGCAGTGGTGGCTTCTGAAATGTTCTGAAGCCTTTAACAACAGAATTCATGGGGAGGAGATACTGAGAGGTGACAAGCAGCACCCTTTGGGACGAGGTGGCAAGTCTGGCGCGTCTTTGCCAGGATGAGCAGAGGACCGGGTGTGGTGCAGGAGACGGGACTTCCTCCCACAGTCTCTCCTGTGCCGTGGCCGCCCACCTTGAGGGATATATGCAGAATATTTGTTAGCATCCCCAGAGGAAGTGAGAGATTAGATAAAACGTTTAAAGTATATTTTTATTTTAAAAGTCAGTCAAGGACCTAGTAAGGACAAATTTTTCTCAGGTAAAGAAAAAAAGCACCAAACTACTGTTACACTGTTTTGCTTACTTAGAATCTTTATTCTCTACGTTCTAGGTTCGGAACCTCACTTACATGGTGACCCGCAGGGAAAAGATTAAACGATCTGTGTGCAAAGTCCAGGAACAGATATTCAATCTTTACACTAAGCTTTTGGAGCAAGAAAGAGTTTCAGGTATGCATTAAGCCCTGGTAGGTCAAACAATAGGGCAGGGGTTTGTAAGCCTTAATGCTTTGTTAAGGAAGAAAATACTAGTTTCTTTAATTTTCTTTATATCCTACGAAGAATCAAAGCAGCACAGGTTTTCATCACTGAAGAAAATCTTTAGGCATTTGAGGCATCATGGTGTTGGGGAGAGGGCTGTGAATTTGGCCTCATGGGTCAAATCCTGTATTCTTACAGGCCAAACACAAGCAAGTCTTAAGTTTTCTGAGTCTCCCCCATTCCCTCACATGTAACGGGAGGACAGTATGTATGGCTCCCTCCTGGGAACTACTATGAGACTCAAATGAAAGAGTAACTTACTTTTTGCAAAGCACTTGGTAATGTAAAGGGTCACGGGATCACCTAAAGAGATTTATAGGTTATCTAGCCTTTGGATCTACCTGTAACGTGCAGTAAATGTATCTGAAGGCTGTGTACTTAAGACACATAGCCATGTTTAGGTAACATTCACAGTGGACTTTTTTTGGTGTAGCTGGAATTTTGAATATTTTGGAGATTCAGCACAAAGTATGTATTTATTTAGAGCCGTCTATTCTGCATTGCTCTGGCGAAGGGAAAAGGAAAACTAAGATAGGGACTTCCTCTCCTGGAGAACACTTCAGTGACTTTGAGATCAAGGGCACTGTTGGGCAAGTTGTTTAACCTCGCTGGGACTCGTGATCTGATAAAGAGGCTTAGTCCAGAATCCCAGCCTCTGAAGTGCCTTTCAGCACTAATGGTCTGTGATCAGAAGCCCCGGAAAGTAGGCGTAAGTTACAAGGAGTGTGGAGCAGGTAGAGCCATGACTCGCAAGTGGGCAGGTCTCAGGTGAGCTAGTTAGTGTCTGCTGCCCTTGAAGTTAGAGCTGTGGCACCTGCACTGCTGGCATGGTGGGGTCTCAGCCGGCTCACTCCTTCCTCCTCCTGCTTTTGTGGCTTTTTTGTCTCCATAGATTATTTTACAACAAAGAAGTTGTTATAACCTAATTGTTGGAATCTGAATTCTGGTTTACCTAACACAAACCAGATATACGTGATTAGAGGTAAACTGGTCAGCCGAACAGAGAGAAAAAAGCCTAGGGAGTTTTAAATGATATTCTTGAAGTGTTACATCGTTTTGATAGCATTAATAATAATATTATCCCAGATATTTCCTTCCCAAGAGTAAATATTTTCCAGACGTATCAGTCTTTTACCATCAACCAGACTTTAGAGTTTAATTGTAAAACTTTTAAAATAAATTTTTCTAAGTAGGGTATCCTAGGTAAAAGCAGTTTGACTCAGATTCTTTCACGTGAACTTCTGTCCCTTCATTGTTCCCCCTGGAATGCAAATAAGTGGGACCCGTTTTCTCCCTGGACTTGTGTCCTCCTGTGAGGGCCCAGCTGGAGGTGGCCTCCAGCAGCAGAGGCCGGGCTGCTGCTCGGTGTGCAGGATCATTCATTCCGCTGGTGCCTGTGGAGCTTCACCATTACAGGCCTGTGATTCTTGTTAGAAGTCGTTTTGTAACGAGTGATTACCTATAGAAATAAGCTGTAAAGAGCATTTTCATCTGATTTCATTTATGAGTCGTTTTTATTGTGGGGAGCTTTTTGTTTGCAGTTTTTGCATTTCATGGCTGAGGTTTTAGGTTGCGTAAGTGAGAGTCTTAGCACGGTTTGGAAGTGTTTTGTGTAACAGAGCTAATGCGATCTATGCTCGGAAGTCCTGCTGCTATTCCAGGACAGAAGGGGTCTTCCCTGCCGTGAACCATACCAGGTATGATAGGTTGAAAGCAATGGTAATCTTGTGAACTCCCACAGGGAATGAAGTGACAGCCCCCTAGGATGTCTTCTCTTCCAGTTCTAGACTTTCAGTTGTGTTCTTATTCATTTGTGCCTCACCCTGACCTGCCTTGTAATTGCGCTAGAGGATTCCAGGTGAGGCAGAGCAGATGGCCATGACTTACACTGGGACAAGGGTCCAAGGTTTAAACTGTCATGATTCTGAGAATGGGCAGGGCTGTTCTGCTGGATGAGTGGCCTCAGTGGAGACAGTGTTCATGTGAGTCATGAATCAGAGGCTCTTTGGAGACATGGATTCCAGTCAAGGAGATAGAAATCAGAGTTCAGGAAATGTCAGTCCCTCTTATCTCTTTTCCCACAGTAGGTGACTGAGTAAAAGAACTAGAAGCGTGGTGTGAAGGCCGACCCTATGTTTGATTTTTAAGGAGACAGGCAGTCCCGAGCCAGCGCCTGTAAACCCCCTCCCCGCGCTCAGGACAGCTTTAGGTCGAGAGTCACTAGCTCTCTGCCGCCTACATGCAGTGTCCTGTCCATCCAGCCCTGGTTCTCAACACGGGCACCTGCCTGCCTGCACTCTGGGGCAGAGCCTTGTTTTCCTGTGGTTCATTCCTCATGGGAGACAGAAAACGTCAACACTGCTCTTTGTGGATGCCCTAGAGGCTCCTGCAGGAACGTGGTCCCTCTGATGAACTCCAGTGTGTTATGAGTTCACCCAGTGTGTTTCAAACTGAGGGTTACGATTTATTAGCAGGTTGTGAGCTGAGTTCAGCAGGTCACCATCAGTATTAAAACAAGGGAAACAATAGACAATGTCAACGTGCATAGCAGGTGATGGCCAGTATGACTGCATGAAAAGTGAACTTTCACTGGGTGTTACACTGTGAAATTTAGTTCTTACTGTGATTTGCATGTTTGAAAGACATCAATTTAACTTATGTTGGATAACAGTTCAGTTTAATTTCATAAATGGGTTTTACATATAATAGTAAACATTTGTTAAAAACATTTACTCCATGTCAAGAATGATTTTAAACACCCTTCCTTTATTCAGTTCACAATTTACATGTGTTCATCCTCCTCACAGCCCTGTGAGGGTGTAGATACTTTGGAAAAGGAAACTTAGAAGCCCCAGTCCCCGCCCTCGTGGTTGTGGCGCTCCTAGCCTGTAGGTGAGGCAGGAGACTGTAGCGCACGGCAGGTGCTGTCCTGTGACTGGGGGGAGGGTGGAGGCAGCTTCTTGACCACGGATGGATTCTGCAGTGAATCCCAGTTAAAATCAGATCACTTATTCTGCTTGACCAGGAAATGTATTCCTTGAAAAGGTGGTGTTTTGTAAAAAATTACATGAACTTCAGCTGTTAAGTATGTAGACTGAATGCAGAGTCTCAAGGCAGGTAATATCTTTATTATAAAAACCAAATTTTTTAAACTGGTGGTTGTATGCTGTACTGTTGGGTGGGAAGTTTGCATTAGTGGGGCCATGCTGAAAACCTAGAATTTCATTCCTCTGGCTCTGCTGCTGCTGTAATTTTTCTTTATTTGTGGTTTATATGTTCATAGGTGTGCCTTCTTCGTCCTGCTCCTCCTCCTCACTGGAAAACATGCTTTTGTTTAACAGTCCTTCTGTGGGCCCTGATGCTCCCAAGATAGAGGACTTGAAGTGGCATTCTGCATTCTTCAGGAAGCAGATGGGTACCTCCTTGGTTCACTCGCTGAAAAAGCCCCATAAGCGAGACCCACTGCAGAACAGCACCACGAGTGAAGGCAAAAGCCTGCTCAAGCAGCCAGACCTGTGTGGTAGAAGGGAGGGGACGGCGGGCACAGAGAGCTTTCTGAGTTTTGAAAAGACCTTTGCAGAAGCACGTCTCATGTCAGCACAACAGAAAAACGGTGTGGTGATGCCAGACCACGGGAACAGAAGAGACCACCGTTTTCATTGTGACCCTAGTAAGGGAGACTTAAAGGACAGACCTTTTAAACAGAGTCACAAGCCTCTCAGGTCCACAGACGTGTCCCAGAGGCATCTGGACAGCACAAGAGCTGCCACCTCCCCTGGAGGGGGGCCGTCAGCACCCGGCACCAGGAAGGAGATGGTGCCCAAGTGTAACGGCTCCCTAATCAAAGTAAACTATAACCAGACTGCAGTCAAAGTGCCTACAACACCTGCCAGCCCAGTGAAAAACTGGGGAGGATTCCGGATTCCAAAGAAGGGGGAACGGCAGCAGCAGGGAGAGGCCCAGGAGGGGGCCTGCCACCAGCACTCAGACTACCCCTATTTGGGCTTAGGCCGAGTTCCAGCCAAGGAAAGGGCGAAAAGCAAATTGAAATCTGACAGTGAGAATGACGGGTATGTCCCTGACGTAGAAATGAGTGACTCAGAGAGTGAGGCATCAGAAAAGAAATGCATACATGCCAGCAGCACTATCAGCAGGAGGACAGACATTATCAGGAGAAGCATTTTGGCCTCTTAATGAAGCAGAGCTGTTGTGGGAGCACCGCCGGCTTGTTACCAAGCAGACGAGAGCTCTGACACGGGGGACGAGCAGAGACCTCTCTCTCCTGAGCTACACAAACACATTTACTTGCAATTCAGATTGAATTTTTTTTCAGAGTCATTTATAAATCATTGTGAGAAGTGTGTGTTATCTGCAACTTGTTGAGGAAACACAAGAGTAGATTGTAACCGTAAGACACTGCTAAAACTAGAGGCTGAATTAAACACTAAAATGAGAATTAATTGAAATAAGTTTCTAAAGAGGGCAAGGCTTAAATAAGCCTCATGAGCTTTTACTGCCCTCTGTATTCTTCCCAAAGCACAAACTTGGTGACCTGAATATATGGAATCAGATATGATTCTTGAGAAACCCTCACGTACCATTTAACAGCCCATAAAACTTATTTTCTAGGACTGTGTTGGATCTCGAAATCACATTTATACTTTGGCCCACAAGGCTGTTTTTGTTGCGTCATAGTATACAGGCAGTAGCTCGGAAGCTTCAGGAACTCTAGGGAATTCATGTGTAAATAGAGACGGGGAAGAGAACATTTTAAGAAAGGTCATTACTGGAAGATCTGAAGGGACAGGGTAGAGCTGCTGGGGCTCGGAGGTTTAGGGCAAATGTAAGCAAGGTCCTGCTGCCGGAAGCCCTTGAACGTGTCGTGCACGTGGGGCTGGTGGAGAGTGAGGCCATGAGAAAGCGCCATCTGTGAGAAAGGGCCACTGAGGCCTCATGGTCACCAGTCCTCTCAAGGCCTTCCTCCTCCCTAACCACTGCCTTCGGGCCGCTTGGGATTTCCCTGGCCATCCAGCTTCCAACAACACAATGGCTATTCAAGTTCGAGCCATGAACTTCCAGACTCTGGTGACTCATAACTTCCCAGAGCCAACCACTAGTGCATATGTCGGGGAATCCGGCCTTCCAACATGAATGGATTCCTTAAGAAAAAGGAAAAAAATGAAAAACAAAAAAGGGATAAAAAGCAAAATAGGTTATATTTTAAAAACAATAGAAAGGCAATAAGTTGCGATAACCTCTTACCATTGACCAAGGTTACACAGGAAAGAGACTGAAGTGTAATAGGTTTCCTGGAGTCAAGAGTTCTAAGCTCTAATTCGTAACTTGGACTTTCTGATTGCAAATGGCAATAACTAGTAAGTTATCAGCAATAATAAAGTTAGCATTAAATTTGAGTACAATGTTCTGTTTCTGCACTCACTGCAGTGCATTATGTATTAAGACAGTGGATAGTGTTAAGGTCCTGTTTAATTTTCTTTGGAATTCTATGTAGTTGTGACTCAAACTTAAGAGAAGGAAAGTTTAAGTAGCAATGAGATTTAGACGTATGGGCACTTGGAACAAGCCCAACTTTCCCTAAATTAGCCCTTAGTTTGTTAGTATCAGTATTCAGATTCCTGATTCATTTACACATCTGTTTCCACGTGGCAGGGACATTCTGATACTTAATGAATAGTGCTTGAGTTCTGTAGTTAACTTCCAAGTCTTCCAGAATGATTGTCAACAATGAAAATGGCTTATTGAATTCCATCTTGCTATGCAAGTTTTATCAGATGATCAAATAGTAGATCTGATACATCCCCATTGTATGTATGACATTTTCAAACCAAGTCTTAACTTTTCGAATACATTTTAAGCTAATTCAGGGGAGGGGAAAGAATGACCCAGGTTTTTAGATTGACTATTTTTGAGCTATGGGGCTCATTTTGAAAGATTGCTGTCTGGATAAACTGTTGCTGTAGATATTAGAAGTTTCTTATGAATCCAAGTTATACATTCACTCATAGCAGAATTGGAAAATCAAATTTTTTGCATATGAGCAAAAACCTTTTGCTGAATACAGAAGGTGGACTCTATCTACAGTTATCTTTTGACTATAGCAACAGCCCTGGATGACAGCAGAATATATAGAGGGATAATTTGTCAAGCCATAGAAAGAAAATCTAAATTAATTCTAGTAAGTATATGACCTCTCACCATTATAAGAGGTACCAGGTTCATTTGCACTATTAGGAATGCTAGTTGTGTGCAAAAATAATGCCTTACCTGTTTTTTCCCCACATTTAGGTTGAAAAGCTTTCAAACGTTCCAAGTTATGCTGAACCAAAAAACAAAAAACAAAACAAAACAAAAAAATAAAAAAAACCCACACAAAAACAAAACACACAAAAATAAAAAGCCCACACTTTCTATTCCTGCTTTGAAATGCAAATGGTACAGAGCACGGTTTCTCTGACAGTGTAATGATAGCTTTGCAAGTTAAGTTAGTTTCATGCCCTGCTGGGAACTCTGTATGAGGTGGCCACGAGCGCAACCAGCCCAACCTGCCCACCTGCACTCTGCGTATGGAACCATTTGCTCTTTTCTTCTTTTTCTTTTCTTTTCTTTTTCCAAAGCTTTATCTTTACTTGTGCATCCTGACCAAGAAATATCTTTGATTATGATCAGTGTATTATGTCAAAATGTAGGCTAGTTAAACTTTTGTAAAGTTGCCTGGAATGTCATTTGTTAGGTTATAAACACAAAATCTAAATGAAGGGTTTTATGTGTTGTGTACAAATCTTAATTATTTTGAAATGGACAAACTTGTCATTACATTTGTAACCTTGTACAGAGGATTTTTCACTATGTGCCTAGCTTGGTGTCCATTCAGCTAAAATTGAAAAAAAAAGGTGCATGAAGAGTTAAAAATCAGAATTAAACAAAGTATATGTAGAGATGACTATTTTATATTACATGGCCCAATCCTGTATTTATTTCTACCCCCTTTTTGAAAGTATTTATAAAACTAGTTGAGGACAGCTGTATTTTTTTGTTGAACTATTTAGTAGAATTTGTGCCTTTTTGTCTGTATGTGAATAAATGCTGTACATTTTGCAGTACATTTTAAAGTGTCTTGAAATCTGCTTTTGCTGATTATTTAGATGTATATGACTTAGCTGTACACGTATATGCTCACACGATGGCAGCGCCTGTCGACTGTCTCAGCTGAATGAGAACATAAAAGACCGAGGAAGAGCACACGTCCTCTGGACTGCTTTCCGGCTCAACTCTGATGGTGAGACCCTGACAAATGATAATGGTTTGATTTTAGTGTTCCCCACCTGAAGTTCTTTCCAGAATACAGTTTTAGATCTGAAAACAACCAGTTGAAACAATTTAGACTTCAAGGTTGGAGAGATGGGGTTTGAAGGCTGAACTATAGTTTACCAGCCAAGTGACCTTTCCCAAGTCCCCTAGCCTTTAGCAGCCTTAGTCTTACCTTTTGTAAAGAGGATGACATCCACTGACTCCCTGGGGTTGCTGCGGTCTTTTGAAGCAAGCTCACAGAGCATCTAGCATAAAGCTGTAGTAGGCATTTAGTAAGCGGTAGGCTATTTGTGATTAGGAACAGGACATTAATTTTCCAACATAATGTTGACAGATGAGCCCTCTGATGCAAAAAATGTTATTCCTGAGTGACAAGGTGATTGTATTTATAAGGTTCTCAAAAACAGTTTTTCAAAGAGCAGTTTCATTAAATGCATTCCTTTGATCACAGAATTCTGAAACATTAGGGCAAAGAAGAGAGATCTTCATTTTACAAAGAAGACATGTCCAAGATCACAGCATAAGGCACTGGCAGAACTGGGTCAAGGCCCTAGTTCTAATTTCTAGTTTGGTGTTCTCCCTGCTTGAAACAGTATTTACTCAACCACTACAGGCAGACATTAGCATATAATGACATGTACCTTCCTTTGTGTTGGGAACAGCAAAATTAGTTGGTGAGGGTTACATATTATGTGGATTATGATAAACAGGAGCCACAGCAGGGTAGTGGTACTGTCCTTAATTTACAATTTAAAAAAATTTGGCCAGTGTTTTTTTTTTTAATATGAATTCCTCATACATTTGGCTAAAAGGTTGTTTATTTCTCCTTGTTCCTCCTTAGTGACTATTTACTTTCATGTTGCTTGCTCTGAGTAAGACCCCAGAGAGAAATAACTGTGATTCTTCCTACAAGGTCTTAAAGTTGAATAACCACAATAGTTCCCTAGGGAAATAAAAATCCCCAGGAGCTAAAAGAAGGGCCTATCGCTGGCAATGCTGCAACTTGTGATGGGAAATGTGACACCAGAGACTCATGTTCTGTATTTTCACCCAGATCACTTAGAAAACGGTTCCCACCTTTGAAACATTAGCCATCTGCAGCAAGCTTCACAGTTAACTTCAAGGCTGAAATCTTCAATATGATTTCCCTTTAATGCTCAGAACTGCATTGGATGATGTGTTCCAGTCTGGGGCAGAACAGAGCTTTGACTGTAAAAGAGGGTAAAAGCAAATCTGTTACCTGCTTCCTTGATGTGGACCGTTCTCTGTGCTGCTGAGTTTGCTGTCGCTGCAATCCAGCTTTCCCTGGTTCTACTGGACTGCCTGCTGGGCATTTCCCCTTGGATATATGCAGGTACTTGAGTTTTGGTTCTCATTCCTCAGCTATATCCTTCTTTGAACCACACCTGAAACCTGGGAGTTCTTTGTGAGTCTTTTCTTCCTCAACTCCTGCAGCCAAATGGTGCTCTATGTCTATGTGTTACACGTAATATCTCTTCAGTGTTTTTTTTTCTGCTTTCTTAATCCCAGTACCGCTTGCCATATAGTTTACGCCTCATCATTTCTTGCCTGGAATTTGCAGCAGCCTCTTACCTGGTTGCTTTGATTCAAGTCTTGCTGAAATGAATCCCTCCTCCTAATTAGCTGCAACCTTGCCAACGCTATCTCCATAGTGATAACTTCTACAATAAAAACTGACATTCCACATAGTCTTCAGAGAACCTCCACACTTTTGCAGATAATTACAAAGGGCTTATCAAATGGCAAAAGCACTGCTTTGCATTTTATGCACATTAATTTGTTTAAACCTTACAGCATATGAGTTTGGTACTATTATCTATTTGTAGATAAAGAAACTGAGGCACAGAAATTAATTTGCTTAAGGTCAGAAGGTGGTAGAGCTGGGACTCTATCCCACCCAGGCTGTGGCGAGCTCCCTGGGCCCCGCTGCCTCTCAGAATATAAAAAGACGTCACATAAAGCAGTTCATGTGTTTTTAGGTATACTGAAGACTATACATGTGAACTTCAGTTCAATGAATTTCTATGAAGTAAAACTATCTTGGCTTAAAACATAATGTTAACATACTGGCTGAACGACTACGAATGTACCTGAATGGCTAATGAGCAATAAAGTCAGCCTGTGGTTGATCAGTCCCTGCCTTCCTCTTGGGAGAATGGAATCAGTGTCACACACAGCGGTGTAACACTGACACTCATGCATACACATATTTATAGATACAAAATATATGCATATAAGATCAAAGACAGTAGCACTGCTGTCAGGAACTCAGAGAAAGACTTAATTTGCTCTATATCCTGACACATTGCTTGGAAAGTTGAAGATAATTATTTAAAACCACTTAGTTTTGATGATGAATCTGCAAGTAGGACCAGTGTCTTAGGATTTTAAATTGATGCTATGTAAAACCTTCAAACCAGTATTTCTGTGATATAACTTATAAGTCTGGTTAGTTTTTACAAATAAGTCAAGCAATGCCAAATTAAATAGTAAAGATAAAAGAAAAAAATAATGTGTACTATCATTCCTAATGTATCTCTAATGTATCCTGATAGTCTCACTACTGCTTGGCTTATATATGGCTGAGTTTTAAATAGTACATTTATAATTGTGGGTTAATTATTATTTTACCCATTAATTTGGCTGATGGTTCCAATTTCCGGATTATGCCAGTGTGAAACAAGGTGCTTTCCTTTTCTCACTCATTTTGGCTCTGCTCCAGCTTTACTGTTTCAGTTGTTTGAGCTTCTCTTTTTCATATCAAATGCCTGTGGTCGTATCTGTGCCTCAACTAGTCCCAAATAGTAAAAGTGAGTAAATACCTTTCAAACACTTTGCTTTAAAATACTACGCCTACTTTGACACAGCAAATCATACAATATTCTATCAACAACTTTACAATTGCTAAACCCAATTTAACATTACTTTGGTGGTGGATATTTATGTGGTAGATACGACTTTTGGGTGAAACTGTCACCACCTATTAACGAAATCTGTCAATTTTTTTTTTGATCTATCTCCTAAAGCAAAGGAAATAAAAACTAATGGGACCTAATTAAACTTAATCTTTTGCATAGCAAAGGAAATCATCAAACCAAAAAGACAATGTTCTGAATGGGAGAAAATATTTGCAAATGATATAACCAATAAGGGATTAATATCCAACATATATAAAACAGCTCATAAAACTCAATATCCAAAAAACAACCAACCTGATTAAAAAGTGGGCAGAAGAACTGAATAGATGTTTTTCCAAAGAGGAAATACAGATGGCCAACAGGCACACGAAAACATGCTCAACATCGTTAACCATCAGGGAAATGGAAATTAAAACCACAATAAGATACCACCTCACTCCTGTCAGAATGGCCGTCGTCAAAAAGAACACAAATTATAAATGTTGACAGGGATCTGGAGAAAAGGGAACCTTCGTACACTGTTGCTGTGAATGTAAATTGGTACAGTTACTGTGGAAAACAGTATGGAAGTGTCTCAAAAAAACTAAAAACAACTATCATATGACCCAGCAATTGTACTCCTGGGTATATATCTGAAAAAAACAAAACCCTAATTTGAAAAGATGTATGCACCCCAATGTTCACAGCAGCATCATTTACAATTGTCGTGGTAAGGAAGCAACCTAAGTGTCCATCAACAGATGAATGGATAAAGAAGATGCAGTGTGTGTACACACATGCACACAATGGAACACTACTCAGCCATAAAAAAGAATGGAATTTTTGTCATTGGCAGAAACATGGATGGACTTGGAGGACATTATGCTAAGTGAAATAAGAGAAAGACAAATACTATATGATATTACTTATATGTAGAATCTAAAAAAACATTTAAATGAGTATAACAAAAAAAGCAGACTCAGGTATAGAGAACAAACTAGTGGCTACCAATGAGGAAAGGGAAGGGGGGAGGGGCAATATGGGGGGGATTAAGAGGTACGTACCATTACATATAAGATGGGTTACAAGGATATACTGTACAACGCAATAGACATATAGCCAATATTTTATGATTATAAATGGAATAAAACCTTTAAAATTTTTGAATCACTATATTGTACACCTATAACATAATATTGTACATCAAGTATGCTTTAACTAAAAAAAAAAAGCTTTATAAGGCTAATAAAGAAATTTGGAAAACTTCAAAGGGGGTAGCCCACTAATTTATATGAGTTCCTTTGCTTAGATCTACATTTTCCACGAAAGTTACCCAACTTTTTAGGTTATGGCCAATTTCCTTTCTAGGTATGAAAAAATACCCAAATCCCACTAGATATGAAGATGCTCTTCTTAGGAAGTTTTCTACATAATGCATATAATTTGATAAACAAAAAGGCTTTTGGGTTAGACTCAGAGTCAGAAAAGGCAAAGAAAGTCTCATTTGCACCTCAGACTCATAGTAAATTAAGTTGATGAATGAAAAGGTGAACACTAGAATTTTTCAAATCTATTTTATGTCTGCATTTTCTATCAAGAACACAAACCCCTGAATTGAAAAGGACAGAATAGACACTGGTAAGGGTTTCCTGAAGTCTAGGATGTATGAAGCACTTGTATGAGCGCACCTAGCTGTTTACAGTGAGTTCTGGCCTCCTGACCCAGAGGAAATAAGTCTCAGGGCACTCAGGGAACCTCTCAGTCACTGTCAGCAAATGGGAGAGATGTCAAAAGCATGAATTCCGCAAACCCTAAGGATGCAATGTTGGCAGCAGAAATCTGGTGTTGGATAGACATGGTTGGAGAGCTTGCAGTGCCGCTTTTCACCTATGCGACCCTGGGACAGGTGTTTAATTTTTACGATACCTTATACCTTTGGAAAAGGAATGATAACACCCTCCTGGCAGGTTTGTTGGATTAAGTGAGGTAATAAATCCAAAATGCTAGAACAATGCCTTGCATATAATAGGTGCTCAATAGACATTATTAATACAGATCAGCATGTTTATTGCAGATCCAGGGAAAGATTCTCCAATGGATTCTTTTGGTTATTTGCAGAAATGGGATCATGACTTCTCATTCTCCTTTATCCCCTAGAGCACAGTTTATATGAAAGGAAATCTCAGTCTCATATTTTTAATCTTCACAGACCTAAGTGCTAACAGATTTCCTTATACATCATATTATATTCTAATGCACTTTTAAAAATTCTTTGAATAAAGGATAGAAATACTGACTAAGAACTTCCATGATGCCATACTAAAGGACTTTAAGGGTTTTAAATCAACGTAAAAGGAACAGGCAGTGACTACTAGGATGCTACACAGATTTACTAAGAAGAAATTCATCTAACTTAATTGTCTTCTTGGACAGGATTACTAATTAGGTCTGGGAAGCATGACAGTTGTGATACATGAATTTATGCTAAGCAGAAGCCTAGGTCTTCCTTGGCACTTCCATGGTGGTATGTAGCAGCAGCAATATGGACTAGACTAAAAACAGGCCAACTGACCACGCCTCATGGGTCCTGGTTAGTTACTGATTATGGGAGGTTGTGACTGGATTGCTCTAAGAAACTGACTACTCAGGTCTGTCTAGTTCTCATATTTTCAATGATTTTCATGAAAATATGGGTGGCATGTTTATCAAGCCTGTAGATGGCATTCACTGTAAATAAAAAAATGGTCATGAATGCAAGAAATATAGCAGTAAAGCAAAATTAAATGGATATAGTTCTTACAGGTAACAAACTGGATGACAGAATTAGGAGCTAAAATGACCTCAGCACCCTGTGATGGTATAATGAAATTTAAAAGGGGTAAACGACCAGTCTCACCTCTGGGGCAAAGATTTGGCTTAGCAGCAAAACCTTCGGAAAAGACTTAGTATTTTAGTCAATAACATGCTCAATATCTGTCCAACAGTGTGATTCAACTTCCAAAAAAGCTAACATGATTTTAAGTTGCATTATTGGAAGTGTAGACTCTAGAACAGTAATTCTCGTTTTTTTTCCTCATCCTAAATAACTAATGAGAAATTATATGTGCATTTCCCTGAAGCATTAATTATAGCAACTCTCAAAGATGCTTCCCTAAGAGCATGTCAGGCTCCTCTTGGGCGGGGTAGGGGGTGGACGGAGGGGAAGGCTATGTATTATGAGGCCAAATCCACCCCCGAGAGACTAATATGCCGTCCCTCCAACTCGGGCAGGTATCACCCTTTCCCCATCTCTCTCAGTTACGATCCAGGGTAAGGGAATGAATAGTTTATACCTTGAATATAATGTTTGGTTTTGGGCATAAGACTAATGCATCCCAAGCACACTTGGTGTAAAGTCAAGTGCTCAAGAAATATCTACTCAAAGAGTGAAGGAGGATATATGCTTCCAGAGACCAGTGACTGGTTGGCCCGAGGACTCAAAACCAAGTCCTGTGAGGAAATGGAGATGCCTCCTAAGCACAGGGAGAACATGATCATTACTTATAGCAGGCTAAAGATCTGCCGTATGGAAGATGGTTTAGATTTCCTCTGTTGCACAAGGTAGAACTAAGGCAGGAGACACACTGCAGTTCAATGAGGAAGAAATTTCTAATGGTCAAAGCTGTTGGAAAGTAGATTGGGCCACCTCAAGGAAGAGGAAGCTGCCCTGCCCCATGCCAGTGAATTTCAACAGCTGTGCACAGTAACACTGGTAATTTGTTACTAAAAATAAAGGAGTGAACTTTAAGAATGTATATTTAAAGAGGAATAAACTAGAGCAAATTCAAAGTTATCTCTAACGTCACTCCCATTTGCTTACATTCCAATATCCTTTTGTGTGGAGACACAGAGTAGAGTTGGAGCTAGTACCCAAGAGTGTCTATGGGAGTGTGGAGCAAATGTGAATTTTTCTGGTGAACCCTTGGGCAAGAAGATCACTTACTTAGTGCAGACTTTTTCTTGGTAGTTGGGTGGGTGCCAGTAAAAAATTACTTTACTTAAAAATGCCTTTCCAGTCTATGATTTCTGTTATCTAGGCATAAACATATTTTAGTTCTTCCTTATATAAATATTAATATAGTCACAAAAGCCACACTTTTTTTTAAGGTTTAAGAGCTGGTAAGGGAGGGGCTTCATAGGTAGCTCTGGGGTACTGCAGTGTCTTCTCTCTGTACATATATCTGTATGTATATATATATACATTTTTAAGTGAACTAAAAAGTTAATCATTATTTTAGATAAAAAGGTTTATAGAGAAGCTCATTACAGATTTATTTTGGAAAAATTGATAGAACACATGGTTAAAGAACAGAATTTATAATAAAATGCTTAAGAGAGCTTTTTCATTCTTCCTTGATCTGTCTGAGAGCTGGCTTGGCAGGCTACGCAGCTATGAAATGTTCACATTTGCTGAATAAATGAGTGACTAAGTTGTTACTAATGTTCTCCCACAGTCCTCACACTAGAGGAAAAATTAGAAGACTGTTGGCTGCTCCAATCTGCGTATTTGTATACAAAGGGAAGAAGAGGTAATCATCTCTCTTTTCTTCCTCAGGGAGATACAATAAAGAAAGATGAATCAATAAAATGAACTAGCTGTGTTGTCCCCTATTTCAGATTTAAGGCATTTCTTTTCTCTTTCCTATTACTTTCCCCTATCTCTTAAACTGAAGTTCACAGGGCAATGATACTCACTGTCTGTGTAAGTGAAGTCAAGACTGATCAACACGAGAAATGTTTCAAAAACTCCACTACATTTTTACATTGGAAATCATTAGCTAATAACCTTTTCTGGAAGAAATAACCATACATATTTAGTTCTGTTGCTAAACATAGCTTAAATCTGTTCAAATTGAACAGAGGTCAGAAAGGCCTATTATCTGCATATTATATCCCTTTCTTGGAGAACATCTAAGTATTCAAGAAAGCCAACTGGAGAGGGGGTTGTTAATATCAAAACGTGAAGAGTAGGTGCCTATGGCCACAGTTTGGAGGAAGTCTGGTTGGAAGATTTTACCTCGAAGAGTCTGGAAAGTGAAACTTTCTTTTTTGAGAAAGGATACTACTACTTACTACTTATTACTTACTACTTATTACTACCACCACCACTACTCCCACCACTACTACTTACATTCCATTCGTCTTGAATGTTAGTTTCTGAAATGCTTTCTCCTTATAGTCTCATTTTTTTGGTCAGATACAATTCTAACATTTTCTCTAATTTAAAGTTTTAAAAACTAAAGTCTATACTCTATAAACATAAATAGGAACATACCTCTTATTACATGGAAATCAGTCTGGAATGATGGGAAGGAATTCAGAGAACCATCTGAAAAAAATCTTTAAGAGATGGAAATGCTAAGCGCCTGCCACCATTTACTGTCACATTTGTATTATCTGGTCTCATCACTGTACTTGATAGTAGCAACAATTTGCTGCACCCCCACCCCCAGCTTTTACTAAATCAGATTTTTCCCTCCCTCAGTTTTCATCATATTGGATTTGCTTTGTTACAGCCCTCTTATTGCTCCTATTCAGTTTCCTCCAAAGACTCTTTTTCCTGAGGTCATTCAACAAATAAAGACATTTTCTAAGGTCCTGTCCTTGATGACTCAGTTGTGAACAAACAGTTATTGAATACCTTCCATGTGGCAGGAACAGCGCTGACTGCTAAGAATGCAACGATGAATGACAGCAGACATGAGTCCTGCCCTCAAGGATCCTGCAGTCCATCGGGGAGGAGATGACATTAAAGAAAAAAATTTCAAAAAGAGTTAATTACAGATTTTAGTAAGGACTATAAAGGAAAACATATAGCATACATTAAGAGCAATACAACAAGGGGACCTAACCTAATCTGGTGGCTAGGTAAGGCTCTCTGACACAGTGGTGTCTAAGCAGTGATCTGAAGAATATGCAAATGGCCAAGTATGTGCAGAGACCCTGTGTGGGGAGGGAGGATGACATCACGATGGAAGATGAAGAGGCCTTCATCAGGGATAGAGCAGAAATGGAGGGAAGGAGGTAGCTAGCACATCACATAAGGCCCCTCAGCAAGCCGCTACACTCCATGGCTTCAATTCTCAGCTCCATGCCAAAGACCCATGACTATCCCAATTTGTTGGTATCAGTCCTAAACCTCTGTGCTGGTTGAATATTTACACATGCATGCTGCTACATCACCTCTAAGTTATTAACTCATTGTATTTTCTCTGGACTACTACAGTGGTCTCCTAACTTGTCCAGATGCAAACCCATCTACTCTAATCACAGAAAGCAGGGTGCACCATGTCAAACTAGGAGCAGAGAATAACTGAGCACATGGATCTATGGAAATCAATAGGACCACAATAGTTTAATGCCCATGCAGTCTCAGAACTTAAGATTCCATTTGATTAATACTGTTTTGAGTAACAGCAAAAACAAAACAAAACAACCCTACCCACCTCCCCCAAAACCCCAAACCCCAAACAGACCAAAACCTCCCCAAATTCTTAAATATCAATATTTGATAAATACTGGAAATTGTGTAAGTTAAAAATGAATCACTACAATTATACATTAAAATACATGACAGCATCATTTTAGAAAGTGTGTAATTTATTACATATGAATTCATAAAAATATGGGTACTTGGGAACTTTAAAAATAAGCTATGAGGAACAATTAGATGCAAATCTTGGAACCTGAAATATTAAAATTCTAGCATTTTCTTCAAACTCATGATTAGGACAGTTTGAAAATTATTACACTCTTCCAAGGGAAAAAGGAGGAATTAAAAAAAATAGACATGTCGAGGAAGGCAATCAGTTCTTCCCAGGTGGCTTTATTCTCCACTGAGGCTCAATATAGAATTATATTTTCTTTACTTACAAGAAGCTGTCAGTGTTCTGTTATCCAATAACCCTCAAAACAGAATGGAAAATGCTTATGCAAAATGACACAAGCCTTAACCATTCTACGCAGGTTTTACCGTTTTAATACACTTCTAGTCCAACAGCTTTCCCAACTCTAAAGTTCTGGGAGTGAACTATGTATACTTTTAAATATTTTCCAGATTCATCATGGAGGCTGCTTTTCTTCTCTGCACTGTAATCGCACTGAGCTGCAATTGAAATAAACAATCAGTAAATAGTTACTTTCTCTATGGAAAATCTTAGACTAATACAAAGTATAATATGTCACAACTTACAATTATTAAAAATAATCTTATTGTAAAGGGTCTTGTAGGAGGTCACTTTTTGTGTTCATTTCTCTTTCACTCTTGATACTTTAAAATGTCTGTATTACACTAGAGATATGCATGTCAAATATGACATTCCATAGCTCAGTGATATACTTGGAATTCCAAAACATACTTTACAAATGGATGAAAAACATCTAGATAAAAGCTAATCAGAAAACAAGCTAGAACACAAACTACGTGTGAGCCAGCAAAATGCAGGGCAGGTATTAAAAAGGTGATGATAGATCATAGTAAGTCTAATGGGGAAACAACGTTTGAATATTAATTGAAATTGATGATACAGACACATGGTTAAAAACATCTCAGAGTACAAAAGAGCACAGAGCATAAAGTCTTCCCATCTCTGTCCTTCATTCCACAGCCTAATTCCAGATACTACTATTTCCAGCTCCTAAGTATATTTCTTGACATATTCTAAGTGAGAACATATGCATATATTTCCTCACCGCCTTTTCTTTAAAAAATGATAAAGTACTGGAGATACTTTTCATCTCTTTTTCCTGCTAAACAATCTACCTTAGAAGTACTTTCACATTAAATCACTTTATTCCTCTTTAACAGTTGCAAAATTTCCCTTGCATGGATATTCCATAGTTGAACTGTTTCCTGTGGATGGGCATTTAGATGGTTTTTAATCTTTTAAAATTATAGGTGATGCTGCAATTAGTAATTTTTACATGCATCCTTGCACAGACTTGCCAGGTGCAAATGCACCACCTGCAGAATACATTCTTGGAATTGCTGGATCACAGCTTAGGTACATTTCCAATTTTTGAGAGATACTGCCAGACTGGGCACCAAAGAGGTTGTACCAATTCACATTTACATCAATGATGTGTGAAAGTGCCAGCACAATGTATTATCAAGCTTCATGACCTGACAGGTGAAAAATGATATGTGATTAGAGTTTAAATCTGCATTTGTCTTATGGGTGAGGATGAGTCGGGCATTTCTTAAATGTTTAAAAGCCACCTGTCTTTTATCCTTTATTCGCCCCATTGTACTATAGTACTTTTTTTTTGTTGTTGATTAGTCACTCTTTATATGTGTTTAGGATATTCGCCTTTTGTCTATGTGTTGCAAATAATTTTCTCCATTTGTCACTGACTTTATGACTTTTTAATGCAGAAATCTGAAATTTTACATAGTCACATTTATTAAATTCTCATAGTTTCTAGGTTTTGTGTACTGCAGAGAAAGGCTTTACCACACTGATCTTTAAAAATACCATACTGTCAAAAGAACACAGTGTGGAATTCAACAATTTAGAATGATACACTTAGAACATCTAACCACAATCCAAAGATGGAAGAAGAAAGTATAGAGAAAGTTAATCAGAGGAGCACACTTCGAGCATGACTGAATGAATACAGCGCAGGGCTTGTGCTGAACCAGTGACACGATGCTGGCTGGGCTGCATGGGTGAGTGTCACATGTTAGGGACAATACAGACCTCTTAACTTCTTTATTTCATTAAATATCAAGCCCTTAGCAGGATACTATTTCTAATAGCAGTTTCCAGTTTTTAGAATAAAATGGGAAAATTAGAAAAGATTGAGAGAAGGCAAAGATAAAGATTTGTAAAAAACTGAATGTATGTCTTAAAAAGTTTATGACTTGGACACATTTAAAACAGGACAAAAAAAGTTAACTCCAGGGAATAAACTCCCTATGTATGGCGAAAATGCTAAATGATTACCTTCCATCTTCAAATGAGAACAGAATGTAAGGAAAAAGGCTTATGGAGAAATCTGTGAAATGGTTACTGACAAAACATGAAAAAAAAAAGCTACAAAGAGAATGGTGGAATCTCTGCCATTAAGGAGTTTAAATTGCAGGAGAAACATCAGTGTCAGACTGCTTAGGTTTAATTCTGTCAGGAAGGAGACTAGAGCCAATTGAATTATACAATTAAGATTCTGTAACTGTACCCTTCTTGTTATAGAACTCCAGGTAGTTGATTTTAAGTAGGTATTATTTTCTTTACCATGTTCCTTAAAAAAGGTAAACTGAAAGCTTTAAAGACTGTGCTATAGAAATTTAATTTCTATATATCTAAGTATCTACTTATACTTAACGACTATGCTAAGTGCTTTATATGTGTTAATCCCTTTGATCTTTCAATAACTCTATCAGAGAGGTGTTATTATCCTCCGTTAAAACATGAAGAAACTGAGGCTTAGAGAAGCTGAAATTGCCCAAAGTCACGTGGCCACTTAATGGTACCAGGCTATTCGCCTGACACCAAAACGTATCCTCTCAAGATACTGCCTAGTACCTTGGCTCCTGTTACCTTATAATCTCAGTGAATAAATGAATTCTTGAATGATTAATTCAAGATTCCATCAACTCATAACTTTATAAGAAATTAAACTTACTTGATAAAACTATAATTACTTTCAAGAGGGAGGGAAATAGAAGGGCAAACTATTATTGGATTTTTGTTAAATGCCATGCCATATTCATACCAGAAGTAGATTTCAAAAAAAAAAATATAAACATTACGAACACAAATTGAATTCAGTGAGTATTTAGGGTTAGTTGTTTTACTATGTATGGAAATGATGTAATACCTAAGAATAATATTAATTTTGATTGAAGCAGTACATTTATAACTAAATATAATTAATAATACAGTAACCTGGTTTTTGTCTGGTCTGTCTGCATATCTATCTAAACTGTTTCCAGCTTATGTTTATAATCACTAAGCTGTTCTCCTTTTGTTCCTAACAGGAGAGACTATTGTTCCCACTTTAGAACAAATGGA